GAGGGGCCACTGGGGGAGCTTGCGAGGACCCTTCCTCACCGGCAGGTACGCGTCGCCAGGATCCTCCACACTGGGGGGTGGCTGGTCCCAGCCACCCAGACTCATGCAGGGGTGGGAAGCAGCTCCCGGGGCTGCTCAGTGCCAGTGGGTGGCTCTGGTGGGGCAGGGGTCTGTGCTTGGGGGTGGGGTTGCCCTGTGTTCCCTGGGCAAGGATGGCCCTGGGAGGGCAGTGCAGAGCTGCACGGAGGTATCCCCCCAGCTCAGGGCTCTCTGGCCATGCTTCTGCAGATAATGCAAGAACAAAGGGAGGCACTGGTGCAGTGGAGCCCATGAAGCTCCTTGGGACCATTCCTAGCCAAAGAGCTCAGCACTGGGTACTGGGGGTCCCTGCAAAGGTGTGGGACCTTCACCCCCATACCCCGTGGCAGCTGTGGGTTAGGATTCCTGTGCCAGTGTGGGGTGGCAGGATGGGAGAATCTGGCACAGCTGGGGCAGCCAGTCTCCTGCCTGCTCTGGCCAAAATGCTGCCTTGAGCTGTGTCAGGAGCAGGAGCCATGCTGCCATCCTGTCTGTCCATCCTCCCGTCTGTTGATCCTGCTCTCCACCCACCAGGGCTGCCACCCACTTGCTCCCAGGTCCCTCCTGGGGCTGTTGCCACTGGAGCCAAGTCCTGCTAGCTCTGAGCCAGGGGTCCTTCCTGCTCCTAACACCATCCCTCACCACTCTCTCCTGCAGACATCGTGAGAAACGATGAATTGGGCCGGCCTCTACACGGTGCTGAGCGGGGTGAACCGCCACTCCACTGCCATCGGGCGCATCTGGCTCTCCGTCATCTTCATCTTCCGGATAATGGTGTTAGTGGTGGCAGCCGAGAGCGTCTGGGGGGATGAGAAATCCGCCTTCACCTGCAACACCCAGCAGCCTGGCTGCAACAGCGTCTGCTATGACCACTTCTTCCCCATCTCCCACATCCGTCTGTGGGCCCTGCAGCTCATCCTCGTCACCACACCAGCTCTTCTCGTGGCCATGCATGTGGCCTACCAGCAGCATCAGGAGAAGAAGCTGCTGGTGCTGACAGGGCATGCGGATGCCAAGCACATGGAAGAGGTCAAGAAGCACAAGATGCGCATAGCGGGTTCGCTGTGGTGGACGTATGTCTGCAGCGTGGTCTTCAGGCTGCTCTTCGAGGCCGTGTTCATGTACATCTTCTACCTGCTCTACCCAGGCTACCAGATGATGCGGCTGGTAAAGTGCGAGGCTTACCCCTGCCCCAACACTGTTGACTGCTTCATCTCCCGGCCCACTGAGAAGACCATCTTCACTGTCTTCATGCTGGTCACCTCCAGTATCTGCATCATCCTCAACATGGCAGAGCTGGTCTACCTGGTGGTGCGGGCCTGTGCCCGCCGAAGCCAGCACCACTCCAACCCCACGTCGGCGAAGGGCTCCTTCTATGGGCACAAGCATTCCTCTGAGTACAAGCAGAACGAGATCAACCAGCTGCTGACAGAGCAGGACGGTTCCCTCAAGGACATGCTGCGCCGCAACTCTGGGCTGCAGGAGAAGGGTGACCGCTGCTCTGCCTGCTAGGGCCACCACTGCAGGGGCCCTGCCCCCACAGTCGCCCCATGGGCCTGTTACTGTCCCTGTCCCAAGGATAGCATCCCTCAGACGTGAGTCTGGCTCTCCAAGATGGCCAGGAGGGCATCTTGGGCCATTAAATCTCCATTCTCAGGTGCTGCCTCCCTCCTTTCTGCTCTGGCCGGGATATGCCGGGAGCTGGGGTGCCAGTGTGGGGTGTCCATCCCTGCACCCAAGTCGTGGTGGGTGCCACGAGGGGCTGTGTGGCTGCAGTGCCAGGGCTGAGCTGGGGCCTGGGCTGTGTTACCCTGACAGCCAGCAGCAGCCAGTGACCCCTGGGTGGCATTGATCAGTGTCCAAGGGCTTGCGCTCCCCCAGCACCAGCCCCTGCAGCCCCGAATATAATTAGAAAAGTGCCCAGACCAAAAATAGAGGGGAAAAGTTTCCCCAGTGGCTGTTTGATGTGCCAGTCACAATGAAAGCCAATGGGGCACGCAGCTGCCTCATGTCCCAATAACCCCATGCCTGCCGTTGGGTGACCGGACAGACGGAGCAGGCAGACCTGTCCGCGCCCCACGGAGGAGCTGGGCACCAGCTGGGAAGGGGCCTGGCAGCATCCCCCACACCCCAGTGACAGGAGCGGGCGGCGCGGGAGCACTGGGCTCTGCCCCACCACCCTCTACGGTGAGAGGTCCCCGTGCCGGATTGCCACCGCGGTTGTTCCCTGTGGCGCTCCCAGCTCTCTGCTGGAGCCCTTTGCTCCCCCTGCTCTCCTTGGGACAGGTTAGGGGGTCCCCTGGGATGCAGGATGGTGACACTCCAGGGACAGCCTTGCGTTGGGTCTGTGCACACCTGCTTGACCAGGGAGTGGGGTGGCATTTTGGCGGGTAGTGGGGCGGCTGTGTCTGGAGGGTGGCTGTCTTGCAGGGCACCACAGCACGTGCCATGGGGGACTGGAGCCTGCTGGGCCGGCTGCTGGAGAATGCCCAGGAGCACTCCACGGTGGTGGGGAAGGTCTGGCTCACCGTCCTCTTCGTCTTCCGCATCCTGGTGCTGGGGGCAGCCGCGGAGCGGGTCTGGGGTGACGAGCTGTCTGGCTTCTCCTGTGACACGCAGCAGCCTGGCTGCCAAAATGCCTGCTATGACAGCACCTTCCCCATCTCCCACCTCCGCTTCTGGGTCCTGCAGATCATCTTTGTCTCCACCCCCAGCCTTGTGTATCTGGGGCACATCCTGCACCTGGTGCACCTGGAGGAGAAGGCACAGCAGCAGACGGCAGCACGGGCCGGCAGCGGGGCCAGGCGGCAGCGCCCCAGGCAGCCGCAGCTCCCTGCAGGGAACACGAGGGCACGGGTGTGCATGCGGGGGGCCATCCTGAGGACATACATCTGCAACATCGTCTTCAAGGCTCTCCTGGAAGTGGGCTTCATTGTGGGCCAGTACGCCCTGTATGGGTTCCAGCTGAAGCCCCTCTACACCTGCAGCCGCTGGCCCTGCCCCAACACGGTCAACTGCTACATCTCCCGGCCCACTGAGAAGACCATCTTCATCCTCTTCATGCTGGGGGTGGCTTGCGTGTCCCTGCTGCTCAACCTGGTGGAGATCTACCACCTGGGTCTCACCAAGTGCTGCCGGGGGCCAGGCCCCAAGTCCCGCATCCTAACTGCTCCTGGTGGGCCTGTAGGGCCTGGCAGCACCTATGTCACTCTGCCCAGGGGTGGCAGCCCCCTGGCTGCTGGCAGACCCCCCCATGGCCTGGCACCACTGAAGAAGGCAGGTGCATGGCTAGGGGTGGCTGCTGGGTCCCACAGGGACACGCGAATGGCAGACCTAGCAGTGTAAATGTGGCCTGCTGGGATGGTCAGGGACGGGCAATGCGTGGGTGGGCACAGCAGTGATTGTGTCTCCAGTCTCTGCCAGGCCCAAGGCATGGACCCCATGGCCAGCATGAGAGCTGGGGACAGCTCTGGGGACACTGCTCAGCTGCTCCTGGCACCCCTGGGAGCAGCAGGGCTGCGAGTAGAGCATGGAAGGGGGAGAAAATAAACACTTACTGCACCTCACTTGACTCCTGCTCTGCTCACAGGCACTGTGGCATTGCTCTCCAACTGCTCCATCCTACAGCCACGCTGCAGGGCTAGGACAGGGCCACTGCTGGTTGGGTGGGGCTGCAGCACTCTGGGCCCAGGGCAGGGCAGGGACAGGCAGGGCATGCCATGCTGGCACCAGTGGGCACTGGGGCAGAGGCCATGACCACATGCCAGAGCTGGCAGGACAGCAGGGCCCAGGCAAGGTAGGAAGTGCAGGGAGCACAGGCTGGGATGGATGGCAGCAAGGTGCACAGCAGCACAGGGACACGAGCCCTGCTCTCCTACAATGCTCACCCTGCCCAGGGGGAAAAACCAGGGGCTACCAGTTTTTCACATCTTTATTTGAAATGAATGGTTTCCAGAGACACAGGGTTAGTCCTACTGCCCTGGCATCACTACAACAAGACTGGTGAGCGGCTCACTCTCCACATGGACACAGAGAACAGATGGCCCCAGGCCAGGGCCCAGAACAATATATACAGGCTCAACAGGAGACCCATGTACAGCTCAAGAAAACCAACCAGAACACGAGAAGGGGCAGGAGGCAGCACAGAGTGGCACAGCTGGAGCCGGACTTGCCCTGGGCAGGGTGGTGGCAGCCTGTGGGTGTGGGAGGGAGGGGGAGGTCAGGCAGGGCTCCCTGCTTCTGCCAGCAAATGCCTGGGCCCTTGGCTGGATTGGACGTTTCCACTGATGGCACCTTGCACAGGGGAGGGTCCGTACACAACTGTGGGGAGAGAGGGGCAGCACTAGTACAGACCCATCTCCATCAGTTTTCAGGAGAGTCAGAAAACACTGACCAAAGAGAGGGAGGCATCCTGGCTGCACACAAGGGAGGTATCTCTGTGGCAAGGCCAGATGTCTGCCCACAAATTCCAGTGCAAGCTCCATCTACTCCCTGCAACCAACCCAAACCTCTCCCACCCCGGGACAAAAGTTCTCCTCCTGACCCAACAACTCTCAGGCTGCCTGTGGCCCATGCCCACTGGCTTGAAAAGACAATCCTGCCCCAGCAGCAGAGCTACTGTGCCTTGATACCTCCAGCCTTGTGAGAGAATGCTAAAGGAAGAGGGAAGTAAAAGCTTCGGGGGCCACTGGTCCAATGGGACAATGTGTTTTGTGCAATTCCTGCCCTGGGGCACAGGGAGAGAGGGGTAGTGGCAGGGCTGGGGGTAGGGGAAGGACAGGGCTGGGCAAGGGGAGCTGCACCAGGGACTCTGCCACTCCTGTGCCATGGGAATGGACCCTGGGGAAGATGGCTCACCCAGCAGTCAAAACGAGACAGAGCTGAGTGTGGGGGCCATGTAAGTAGGGGATGCCTGTAACGAGCAGGATGGGAGGTCCAAGTCTGGTAATGATGCAGGGACAGCACTGCTGCAGCACCATCCCTTCCTATGCTGCATGGCCCCTGCCCTGCAACGGCAAGCAGCAAGATGAGGTGTCCAGGCTGGAGTGCAGCCAGTCCAGCAGCACCTCTGCCTTAGTCCATGTCATCCTCCAGGCTGCTGAGCCGACTGTGCTCCTCGTAGATCTCCCTGACGGCCAGGATGCGGTTCAGCATGCTCTCCAGCATGCTGCGGTCCATGGGGATCACCGAGTACCAGAGCGGGGACTCGGCGATGCACGACCGCTCGGGCTGCAGGTAGAACACGTCGTTGCGGTTCCGCAGGCTCTCGGGACTGTGGAGAGACAGGAGGGTGAGACCTGGGGTACCAGCTTCAGGGCCTCAGACAGCCTGGCCTGATGGCCTGTTTAGCAAGGGGTGTTCACAGCTCGTCACAGCCTCTCATCATTCAGTAGGACAAGGACACAAACTCAGCCTACAGCTCCTTGTTCAAGGCCAAAACCCCTAACCACCCAAGCACTGGACTCTTACTGCACATTCCTGCCAGTCTCGAGAAAGGCAGGAAGAGGGCAGAGAGAAGCATTCTCTCAAACTTGGTCTAGTGAAGCAGCACAGAACCTGGGCAAGACTGCGTGCTCGTGTACAAATGTCCGGAGAGCAGCAGTCACTCCACAGGGTTCCATCAAAACTAAGAAGTGGCCCCAAAATGGCACATGCCCCTTCTCCAGAGAAAGCCTCACCATTTGGAGAGATAAAACTCATAAAACTTGACTGGGCATCGGAGGGGATTCATCCTGTTCTCCCGCTGCTCCAGCATCGGTACCTCCTCCTCACGCTTCCGTTTTCCAGAGCCGCCATCTGCAGAGAGGGAGAGAGCTGGATCATGGCTGGATCCTGATGGGGGATGCAGGGGGAGGAACAGAGATGTTCCCCCAGACCCACCTCGGCTTTTCTTCTGCTTGGCAGGAGCGTAGTAGCGGATGCTCACTACCTTTGTCATGCCACGGGCTGTGCTGCACTTGCGGGACTGGCGCACCACGTTGGTGAAGGAGAGCTGCATGTGCTCCTCCGCTGTCTGCAGCCCGAAGAACTTGGTGTTGAAGAACATGAGGGTGTTGAGAAGCACAAAGGGTGAGTAAACACCCAGCTGTTTGCACTCCCAGAGGTGCTCCTCCTCGACACGGGAGAAAACTGTGTCTGCAACACACAGAGGGAGAACCAGGTCACATCAGCAGTGGCTTTGTGGCAATCCCTTCACCCTGCCCAGGAAAGCTCACTGCAAAAGATTGATGCTTCATAGCATCTCTTTTTCCATAAGGTTATTTCTCCTGAGCCATGAGCAGAGCTAGAGCTCTGCCCAGCCATAAGCCTCCCCAGATCACAGCCAAACCACAGGTGAGAACCCAAATCAATCCTAACTGCTCATCACTACAGATGGCCAAAGAGTGAACTTCAGGTCAGTGTTCCACCACACTCAGTGAGATTAGGGAAAAGCAGCAGGCAGGAGGGATCTGGCCAGCTCCTGCCTAGATACACAGGTCTGGAGTCAAATGGCTCTGCCTGGGATAGCCAATCTGCAGAGATGAGGCGGGATCTATGAAATAACTACTGACAAGACACAGCAGGGAAGGCAGCCCAGATCATAGCACCATGAAAAGCCTCTGCAGAGCTCTAGGTTAGCCTGTTCACAAGGCAGCAGCACAGCAACCTTGGCCAAGGCCTAGCACCATGTGCAGGGCTCATCCATGTGCTGGGAACACAAACACACGCACCAGTGTGCCTCCTGGCTTGGCATCCTCCTTGCCAAAGGGGGGAGACATCACTGTGAAGTGTTGCAAAGATTCAAATTGTCCCAGGATCAAAGCACACGTGCTCTACTCCCAGCTACCCTGACTGTGGGCAACAGAAGCTGCTGAAGCATAAACCACGCTGGCTCTGCAGTTGGTTTGGGTCAGTATGACCTCAACACACAGCAGGACTGTGCTGCCTATGCCAAGGTTGAAGCTGGGGGAGAACAATCGGGCTAGAGGATCCAAGGCTACAAACTGGATCCAAGCACAAACTGGATACATGAGGGGAGTAAAGGTACTCTGAAGAGACGTACTATTTGGTAAGATTGTGGGTTGCCAGCCACTCAGGGATTTGTTCAGCTCCTGCACGAAGGTCAGGTAGTAAAGGTCTGTAAATATATTCACCATACGATTGTTCTCGAGCAGGTACTAGAAAGGACAGAACACACAGTCAAGAGAAACACAGCGGCACCTGGAATGCAAACCCTCCCCAGAGAGCCCAGGGCACATATGCAGAGCACCCCGCCTTGCACCACCAGAGCTGCTGGGCAGACACTTCTGAGAGCTGCAAAAAAATCCTGGGGCATGACAAAGCAAACTTAGTGCTGAAGAAGGGCCTGAGTCTGGGGAGATCCCCCAGACCTCCTCAGAAATGGGCAAGAAGGGTGCAAGGCTGGGGAATAGATGCCACCTACTCTCTGAGCTTGGGAACAAAGACCAAACCATATGGGATGCTGTCATGGCATGAGACACTAAAGGAGAGTCCAGCCAGCCTCTCTGGGTCCCCAGAAGGCAGAATGAAGGGTACAAGCTCCCCTCACCAGATCTGAACCCCCCAGCCTGGCTGCAGAGGATGAGGGCAGCAAGGCCTCCCTCACCTGCTGGATGCCAAGGCAGAGGTAATAGATGCTGTCCGGTTCATAGCGCTCCCCATTGGGCCGGGTTATCTCCTTGACAAACTGGGCCAGGCCGTAGTTGAGCTCAGCGGCTGAGCAGGCTAAGATGTCTTCCTTGATCCTCATGGGCTTGGCTGGAGAGACAAGGACAGCAACCTCAGACAACAGCCTACAAGGTCAGGAACACCTCAACACCGCAAGGTCCACTTTCTGGGAGGTTTGTGCCACTCCACTGCATCCAGACAAGGCACTTACGGCCAAAGCGTAGCTCCTCTCCCTTGCTGGTTTCTCCTCCTGCATACTTGGCTTGTACCCAGGACTTCCAGGCATTCACACCATATGAGTAGTTGAGCACTGTACAGCTGGGCTGGCTGCTCATCGAGTCCCGGGAACAGCTTTCAGAGAGCACCAGGCGCTTCTGCCCCTGCAGAGAGGTGTTCTGTGAGACTGGGCATCTACCTGGGGCAGGTGCAGGAGTCCTGGCCACCCCTCACACCTGCTGACTGTCAGCTTCCTACAGCGTGCCATGGCAGCAGGCACTGTTCTGCTGGCAGCCAAGCCAACAAAGCTCATTAGTTACAAGGGTCACAGGCACTAAAGAGACCAGCTGTCACATGACTTGTAGCATTCAAAGCTCCTCCGAAGCGACAAGCAAGTATTTTCATTCAAGGAGTGGCCTACAGGCCAACCATGCCCTAAAACATGAGGGCACAACCTCCCCAGCGCACCAAAGACTGGTACACTTCACCTCCTACATCCCAGGTGGCAGCTCCCACTCCAGACCCAAAGGGCTTTAAGCAGGCAGTACCCATAGAGAACTCACCTTCCGGACAGCTCGAGGCAGATCTTGCTCTGTGGACACATCATCTGGTCCCACTAGCCCACAGTCAAAGAGGAAATCCACACTGGGGTTGATGTCCAGAGGGTCTGAAAGGAAACACAGGCAGAAGGGTTCAGCTGAGACTTCTCATCCTGCCCCCGGTGCTGGCCTGATTTTTACAGCAAAATGAAGAGGGAACACTTCACATCCTCTACCACTGTCTGGCATGCACTTTTAGCCACAGCCCAACAAAGAAAATATGGCTCCACCAGACAATGCTAAAATTTCTCAGAATGACCAGAATCCCACATTTTCCTTTCTGACAGTTTTTTGCCTGTTTATTTTTTTAAATCTGAGGAACATTCCTCATTCCCGGGTGTCAGGCCAGTACTGTGGACAGCCTGGCACAGGCACCTCAATTCTGTTGTTTGCTGCTAGCATCCTGCCTCAGCATTGCTGTGCTCCTGCAAGTCCCTGCCTCTTCTTCCACCTTCTGTTAATAGCCACTCAGCAATTTTGCCATTTCTCAGTATGCCATGCCTTGTCCAGGTTTCTCATTTAGCTGGATCCTCTGGAATCATCACTCATAAACACAGCAGTGCTGCTGCCCTGCTGTTCAAATCAGCTTCTCATTCCCCCTTCTCTGGGTCTTATGTTCACAACAGGCAAGTTTAGTCTGGACAAACACACACTCCTTCAGAAGTGGTGGTTCCCCACTGTGCTGCCAGTAGTCACCACAGGGCTCTCACACCATGTCAGTCAGAGGACATGGGGAGGTAAGTGCACACAGCTGAGGGCAGTGGGAGGACCCCCAGCAGCCCTGCACACCTGTGTCACCCAGCTCTTACTCTTAGGGAAGTCAGCCTCCAGGTCCTGGCCTGGCTCATCGAGGACATTTGCCATCTTGACAGCCATAGCCAACACATCGTCCCGCGCTGGTCCAAACAGATCACAGTCCTCCAGGAGACCCTCTGCACTCTGGTTACTCACCAGGTCTGAAAGGAAAAAGTTCATCAGAAATCCAACTTTCTTGAAAGACTTTTGTCTGTTTTCCCTGTGACAGCTGGAAAATGAAGTCAGAATCTGGGTGCTCAGAGCAGCCCCACGACACTTGAGCTGTCCAGCTTTCCCTGGACAGCAAGACACTGGACAGTTGTTGTCTGCCCAGCCACAACTCCCATCACTGCCATTTGTAGGAATGCAGCCCCCAGGTAAAAAAAACCTGCAAGACGAGGGCTGCCTGCAGCTACCTTTTGTAGCATGGAAACTGCTTTAGGGAAGAATCTGAACTGTCACCTGAATAAACTAAGAGAGCTGCACATGTGCCACAAGACTGGCACCCCCAAAAGGGACAGTGGCAGACACTGCTCCCTGCTGTAGCTCTTCCCTTCTGGTACCTCCTCAGTAGAAGTTAAGGACTTCCTTTTCAAAGGCTTTGGGAGAGCCACTATCCCAGCAGGTGTTTTAGCTCCAAGAGCTGGCAAACCCCCCTTGATCCCAGCTGCTGGACCAGACCAAGCCATGGCAGAACCTACCACACAGGTCTGAGGAGGCTTTGTCCAGTTCCTCAGCCTCTGCAATCATCTCAGCCATGGCCAGGATGTCAGCCTCTAGGGGATTGGAGGGGATCTTCACCTTCAGTTCCTCAATGGTCTCCACGATCTTCTCTGTGCTCTCCAGTGTGGTGGGCAGGAACATTGGCACAGGCACCTGTGGACAGCAGCACACCAGGCAGAAAACTGACACTCAGTAGACTGACATAAAAGCAGAGGCAGGAGCAGAGCGTGAACAGAGAAGCAGGGAGACTTGAGCAAGGCAGGATCACAGCAGCAGGAGAACACGAGCAGGTGAAGCACGTTGCTTACCGGGACAGGCATGGAGAAAGGCACAGGTACTTTCTGGCAGTACATATGCATAGGCACAGGCACGAAGATCGGGACGGGGATTGGCAACACAACCAGCTGGGGCTTCCAGTCAGCCTCTGACAAGAGCAAAAATACATCAGTGACCTTAATCCCAGAAGTTCCTCCACCCAGCTCTGCTGCACGCTGCCATGCTCCCAGCCATCCAGCACCACAGCCCTTCCAGCCACCAGCTTCTAGGACTCATGGGCAGAGCTGCAATAACAGCAAGTCAAGGCCAGCAACAAGAGAGGCTTGCCTTAGCCAGAGGTACAAATCCTGCTCTTACATAGCTCTGTTAAGAGGTCTAGCTGCCTTGCATATGCTGCAGACCACACACACATGCCCAAGAGGAACTAGAGTGAAACCTTTTAGCAGACAGCCCTTAGACAAGCTAATGATCTCCAGAAGAACAGGAGCTGTCCCACAGGGTAGGATCATGCTACAGAGCTCTCTACATCTCTTGTTTTGCTGGTGATGGAAATAGGCTCCCTACCCCCAGCTCTGCCATGTGTGCCCTGCACCTGCCCAGAGACTCCTCAGCATGGTGCCAACACCCAGCCCACTCTGTGCAGCATTTCAGGCTGGGTTCACAGTTAGTCTGGAGCAGGAATGTGCCACTTGCCTTTCCAAAATGCCCCTGTAATCCTACAGTTAAATCTTGCTTTCCTACCTGTCTGACATCCTTTGGACTTCATTTCAAACTTGCAGGAGACACCCCGGTTCTGCATCAGTGGTTTACACATGGCAGCTTTGTTTTTCCGAGGGGTGGCTGGAACCAGAGGTGGGGCGGGAGGCGGCACAGCTGGAGACGTTTGGGCTGAGGAGGCCTTTGCTGACAGCTGGGGAAATGCAGAAAGCAGGAGGTTGGTGTCCACCTAAGGCAGCATAATCTCTTCCCTACTACAGGTGCAGGTGGAATGACTCCCAAAGCACCTCCTGGAGCCTGGCAGTCTGCAACACATGGACACTCCCATGGTCAGGCCATGATGAAGGACAGCCAAGCTGTTCCTGTCAGGCAGCAAGCCTGTGTGCTGCCTCTGCTGTGCCAGGAGTCCAGCAATGGTGGCTCCTGTCCCATGGGGTAGAGGGGAACAGTGGGACAGCAACTATACCCAGGCACAGGAAAGCACTGTGCAAAGAGAAGCCAGTGCCACAGTGTCAGGATATTCTGGAGCTCATAACTGATTCCTGGGGAACAGTTATTCTTCCCCCTTGTAGGAGATATGTTGATGTTGCCTTCCTAGGAGTTCTTTTCATCTCCCACTACCCAGACATCTCAAAATGAATTGGTTGTAGAAGAACGAAATCTCCCTGAGCAATGGCAGAACTGTCCTCTCTTTGGGGACAGCCCCTTTGTCTTGCAAACTCCTACCTCCAATGGGTCTTACCATGTTAGTTTCTGCCTTCTGTGTGGAAGGGACAGCTGGTTTTGGCTCTGAAGTCTGACCTGTAAGAGAAAGTAGCAACTCTTAAGTTCAAGAGCTCCTGGGCCAACATGTCCCACTGCTGGGACTGGAGGTGCAAGCAGCCAGAGAGCAGGGACAGGCTCCCCAGAAACTGCTCCTGGCCATTCCAGGAACAGTTAATGTTTCCAAAATCTCTAGCCCTAACACCTCAGAAGACACTACAACTCCAAAATCAAGTTATTCCCATGTGATTTTGTGCTCCCTTACAGTCCACCCCTTCCCCATCACAGCAGGTCAGGAGAAATCCCAGCCCCTTGTAGAGAGAGGAATCCAGGGCTCTAATCCCAGCTCTGCCTATTGGCTTGCTGTACCGAGCCATGGCCCCTCCCTGTGCCTCCATATCCCTGCAACAAATATCTTCGCAAAGTGCTTCGAGATCCCTAGGAAGAAGGTGACAGAGCTAGTAGCAGCATTGTGAGAAATCCCAGAAAGCAGAGAGACAGCTTTGCCCCAGCCCTAGGGATGCAGTCCATTCCCCTGAGGAAAGAGAGGATCACCTGCAGGTGAGAGGCGCGTGTGGCACAGCTGGTCTCAGGCGGTGACCCTATCACCCTGCCTCGGATGAGAATTCCAGCTCATGTGCTCTGCAGAGAACCTGCACCCATCTCAAAGGCTGGTGAGCTAACAGAGCACCTTCATCCCAGTCTCCAGCGATCCTTGGTTACCTACCAGGGATCTCTGACTGGCAAAAAAAATTGCCTTCTACTGGTGGGCCATGCATGAAGGAGACCCCTGCAAGGACAGCAGCAGGTCCCAGCACCCAAAGGCAGTGGCGGGTCCATTCACAACTCCTGCACACAGACAGGTCCTTCAGAAAAGACCCAGATTCCTCAAAGTCCAACACAGGAACATTCACACTATGAAGACTTCCTCCGACCTGAGGAAATGCAGGATAATCCTTGTACAATTTGAGGCCCATCAGCCTCCACTTGCTGACCACCACAGGGGGCAACAGATAAATCCCAGCTGGAGGAAGCTCCCTAGTCGGCAGCTAAGCATTCAGCCATAGGATCTGCAGCAGTCTCAGGGGCCAAGAACTCACCCTGACAACCCAAAGTAGATGGGCAGCAGGTCCAGGTAGGAAACACCAATGGCCTGAATGAGAAAAGACAAGCTATGACTTATGAGCAGAATTTCTGCTGCAGCAGAATCTAAAGCAAACAGGATTGCCCCACTGGTCAATGATTTAGGACTAAAGAAAACAAGATTCTTCTGCCATGTGCTACGTGTCCAGGCTTCCAGGAAAGCTGCAGCTTGTTCTTTATTCTCATCCCAAAACCAACAAGGAGCTGTCAAGGCACTGCCTGTAACAACTGTGACTTCTACCCTCTCCAGCTGGACAGCCCAGTGCAGAGCCAGCTCCTTTTGGAAGTCTTTGGGCACAGTTTTGAAGCAATGCTCCTCAATCCCACACTACATGAACTGTTCCCAGCAAGGGAACATCTGCTTGTATGATCAGCTACAAGAACTCTCAAGGATCACCAGATTGGTAGCAGCCACTGGATCACAGGAATTAATGGTTTTAGGCAATCACTGGCTGCAAGAGAGAATAAGGAAGAATAAAAGCTCTGTCTAAGATGAGCCTGAAATCCAGGTCGTCCCTTGCAAGCAGGCAACACAACTGTCAGGTCCACAGGAGACCATGCAGAAGCTGGTCCTCCCAAAATCCCCTGCACAGCACAGCACAGCTGGAAAGCTCCTTGTGTAAGCGGCTCCTGGCTTCAGCATCCTTCCTTTGCAAACTCAGCAGTATGCTACAGTCCTGGGGCAAGGATGTCCACAGCTGTCCCACATCTGGCAGGGGACTGGTGTGGCAGAGCATACAGAGGACTCAGTGCCACCAGCAGTATCCACTAAGCACAGGAGCTGCTGGGGCAGCCTGGAACTCGTGCTCAGCTGAGCACTGACAACTGATGACAAGCTTTTCCTTGGCTCCCTTTAGTCCTTACAGGTTGCATGGAGATGCAGCTGTGGCACAGTGAAAAGTGATGCCCCACATACCAAGCAGCAGAGTTCTGGGGGGCCTCCAGAGATGTGGTGGAGGTCTGAGACTCTCATGGTTGTTGGTGGTGCTGAAGGTACTTCTCAGTCTTGTGATCCATGGCTCCAAGGAGACAATGGCTGAACAGTGTGAAACGTGCTTCCCTCTGCAGGCAGAGCCTGCCCACTGTGCCTGTCCCAAAAGCTGTGTTACAGATCTCTCAAAAGCAACATGCTTTGACAGCAGAGGACAAACAGAACAGCATGGCTAGGGCTGTGGAATCATTTGGTGAGCTACAGGAACCAGCATGTCGCACACCTCTTTCTCCCTTGGGCAGCAGAGCACAATAAATCAAACAGAATTCCCATGGGCACCCTTGTGCCAGTAGAAACCAACAGTTCTTTTTCCAGGTCATTCCAGTGTGCTGCCACTTGAGCTGTCACCTCACACAGCCTGTTATGGAGAGTGGCTCTTGGAAGGCAGGTTGGGCTTCCCCTAGCTGGGGGAACCTGCTGCTTCTGGCAGAGCAGCTCTGCTTTGCTGCCTGAGCAGCAACAACATCTGGAGCTTCCCCTGTCCTATGAACGGTGCACTACAGTCAGGGGAGGAACCTCAAGAGTCTGGAGATGGAGGATGAGGTCTCCCATGCGAAGGTCCTCGTCTTGGTTTCCCCTCCTTGGCACACCCTAGCCAGGGTTTTAAAAGTGATGAAATCCCAGAGAGGCCAGCAAAGCCTGAACCTGTGATGCAGGTATGTGTTGAAACTTGATGCACTGAAGCAAGTCCCACTGTAAGCTGCAAGCACTTTAACTATATCCCCCAGGTCACCCAGGAGATCACGGCCTACAAAGACCAAGCAGAATGAGACTGCAGGTGTCCGAGGGCCAGGTGGTGTCTTGTCACTGTCACTAGGAGCACCTTCCATCCTGAGGGATCCCAAAGCACTTTGCAATCTTCCATAAGGAACTGGCTTGAGTTAATGATAGGAAATGGGGCAACAGGCAGTGAAAATCTCCTCTCCAGCTGGCACTCCATGGATGCAGAATGGGGTTATCTGGGACACAGGGTTGGCAACTCCCCAAAGCTGCAGTGAACTTTGGGTAAGTGGTAGGACTCCAACCTAACATTGCAAGACACAGTGCCTCCAGCAGCTCAGTGCTCCCTCAAGACCGTTCTAGGTTCAGCTCTGGCTGAAGGAGAGCCCACCTACAGCATCACCAGCACCACTTCCTGCAGCACCCTTCTTTGTCCTTGAATGTTTCCCATCCAAGCACTGACCTGGCCCAATCCAGATTAGTTTATGAGATCTGAGAAGGTCACAGCTCGGAGGTGGTGTGAGGCTGCAGGTGGATTGTCATGCCAAACCACGCTGTCCCCTAACCCTGTAAATCGAGCTCTCCGCTGGCAACTTGAGGATGTTAAATCCCTGAGTATCCTCGCTAAGAGTGTGAGCTACAGGCAGCACGCTGGCACCGGCTCCTCCCGTCTGGGCCCTGTGTGTCATAGAACCATAGATGTTAGAGATGGAGAAGCCCATTAGGTCCCACTCCGTCCTTTCCCCCCCAGGGGCCAGTGCAGGATTGTTCCCTAGCGTCTCCTCCAGTCCCAGGCAGGCAGCTTCCACCCCCTGCTGTTGAGTCTTCCCTGTGTCTCTCAGACTGAGCTATGCAGGTTCCCTCCCTCCCTCCTACTCACTGTTCAGCAGGCTCTCGGGCCCCTTCTGCGTGTCCAGGTTGGGCTGGTTCTGTTGATTGTAAAATCGCAGCAGACACTGCTGGTTGCAGAAGTGTTTGATTTGCCCCCGCCAGTGGATGGTTTCCAGCAGCTTCCCCTGACGCTTGCAGGCATGGCACCGAGCTGCCTAAAGCCCGCATCAGCAGGAGAGAAACAACGAGTAACTAACCACACCCCCTCCGAGTGCAACACAACTCTCCAGTGAAAGGTGCACATCGCAAGGTGCAGTGAGCTTCCCCGCAGCAGTGCCCTGCCAGTGCCAGCCAGGGACTCCAGCGGTGCGAACTTCTCCCAGCAGCACTGGCCGCGGATCCAGCACTGCGAGCTTCCTCAGCGCAGTGCTCTGTCTGGCAGGATCAGCTGGGGACTCCAGCTACGTGAGCTTCCCCGTAGCAGTGTCCCGTCATTGCCAGGCAGGACTCCAGCAGTGCCAGGTTCTCCGCAGCAGTGCCAGCCAGACTCCAGCAGTGCGAACTTCCTCAGTGCAATGCCCACTTATCTGGGTGCCGTGCCCACCACAGCACTTAGCACAAGCTGCCAGTGCCAATACTGACCTTGAAGTACCAGAGCAAGTATTTGCTTTTGCAGTCTTCACTACAGAAGTCCCAGGTGCTGCCCTCCAGCTGCTCGGTGACCGCCCGCTGGCAGGTCTGAGAACAGTAGGTGCAGGTGATGCAGCACAGGCCCAGGTTCTTGGTGAAATCCTGTTTGTAAAGAAGCACACACCCTGCGGAGAAACAATAGGAGTGAAACCTTCCCAGGATGAACTGGGGGCCTCCCTGACCCAAACATGACCAGAATCCAGGTCTGCGGAGACAACAGAGCACACGCAACACACTGTAGGGAACAATCCAGCACTGGCCCCTAGGGCTGGGATAAGATGGGACCTCATGGGGACTTGCCATCTCTCACCTCCATGCTTCTAGGAAGAGTCTGACTCCAACCTCCTGTGTGCAGGAACCCAGCAGGCAGGGCAAGGCCAGGTCAGGCCAGCCCAGACGCAAGAGCGTAGAAGTGCATGATGACAGGAGGAGCGGAGCTGCCACCTGCTGTCTCCCCAGCCCCCAGAGAGAGAAAAGCTGTGAGAAGGCCCTCCCCAAGGACACAATGAACGGTAAAGATCTTGCCCTAGGGCCTGGCTGGACAGCAAGCCATCCCCACAACAGTCCTCCCTTCACTGCATGGCAAGGCTCTTGCCCCAGGGCCTGGCTAAGACAATCTCCCCTCTGTTCCTCTCCATGCTCTCTTCTCCTCCCCCAGCATGGGCTGGCATGGGGGCTCTGCCTCTCCCACGCCTTCCCCAAGTACCTTCGCTGCAGAAGTTCTTCTCCACTCCAGAGAAACGGATCTTCTCATGCAGCAGCTTCTCCTGCTTGCAGTGTTCACACTGAGACACCACCCCACGCAGCCGCTTGAAGTCCTCGCAGCAGTCCTTGCAGCAGAACTGATACACCTTGTCCTGACAAAGAGACCAACCAAAGCCAGGTCAGCCAGGCTGGCAGGAGGTTCCCACACTTCTTAAGGAAGCAAGAGAAAGACTACAGGGCTGAGTTAAGTCCCCAGCTCTCCTGGCACAGCATTTGGCAGGAGCGGTCTCCTCCCTCCTGCCATCCTGCTGAACATCAGGAGTGCAGCCCTCACACAGTCTCCAGGCACATCTCTGCAGCTAAGGCATTCAGAGGACTGCCAGAGGAAGAGCTCTGCTTAGAGCAGGGAGAGGAAGTACCCCAGAGGTTCTCAGCAGTGTTGGCCTCCACCTCAATGTGCCCCCGGGGGAAGTCCTCACCTGCCAGTCTAGGATCTCCGGCTTCCCGCTGAACAGATTGTGACAGTAATGGCAGTTGAGGTGGATCCCACCTTCCGGGCTGGTGCGCTGCAGGAGACAGAGACAGCTCATGGGGGGAGAGCAGCTGGGGGCCAGCAGGCACCTGCCTCACACTGCCACCTCCTTCATGGCCTGCAGCCTGCCTGGCCCCTCAGACCTGCTGCCACTGTGGGGACTCGGTCAGTCCATCACATCTTGTCTCAGGCTCCTGGAGAGATGATTCTTGAGAGCAATTTCACTTTACTTCCACTTTGCTGGGTCCAGCTCTTCTCAGGAAGGCAAGCTTTAAAGCTGTCATGCCACTGGATTTGAAAACTTAAATTATGAGGGCTCTGTTACCTCTTCTGAGGATTTCTCTAAAAGTTCTTGAAGCACAGGTGCCTGATTTCTATTTTCAAGAAAATGCAACTTAAGAATTCAAGCAGCCTCTCATCCCATTTTCTGCTAGATTAATCTGCTAGATTAAACAGCAATTGGTGTCCTGTCCACAATACATTTAGCATTCGGTGTCTTATCCACAAGGATATATTTATTAATAAAGTCATTCCTGGTTTTCTTTCTGATAACTTCAAATACGACATTCTGCAAGTGCCTCAGTACAAGCGTTTTTCAAGCCCAAATTTCATTTTTGGGTTTTTCTTCAGAATACTTCCAATTTTTCTTAAGCATTGAAAATGAAGTGGACATTGGAGAACATCCTTCCTAGGTGTGCATCATTCTAGGCAGGTCTTTTGCTCCCTGGTCCTCAAACATTAACTCTGTTTGCCTGCTTGTACTTCCAATAAATTAATCCTTCCCTGTGTGGCTGTAAACTGAGATGCTCATACTGAATAGTTCATCTGCTGTAATTCTATGGCCTTTTTAAAATCCTTACTTTCCAGGATTTGCATCTCCACACTACCTGAGTAAGGCTGACAGAAGATCTGCACTGAAACTGCATTTAAGCACACTTAAAAGGAGGAACCAGCCTTGTCAATCAATCCAATTGCTTTGCTTTCTGTGACTACCCTGAATGCAGCATGGACTAACACTTCACCAGTTTTTGTTTCAGCTGCTAAATTGCATCATGCTTACTTTGACTTTATTTCCAAATGATCAATTAAGATGTTGAAGTCCCCGGGCTTAACACTGATTCTGAAGAAGCCATTTTGAAACATTCTCTTCAGTGTTTTTTCTTTGACAAGTGTCTTTGGAGATCCCTCAGCAAGACAGTTCCTAACCCAGGTGAGGCATGGGTTTACTCATATGTTTACAATGCTGATTTTATATGGTAATAATTCGAGTTAGATGAATTAATGAAGTCCCAGTTGGGGAAAGGGGAAAAGTTGCAACCATTTCTAAAATGGGTAGAAAGGAGGACCCTGGAAACAACTGAACTGTGCAGTGCCTGTGAAGATCATGGAACAGATCCTTCTAGAAGCTGTGCTGAGGCACGTGGAGCACAGGAGGTGCCAACACGGCCACCAAGGGCAAATCCTGCCTGATCAACATAGTTGTCTCCTCAATGGAGTGACTCCATCAGTGGAGAAGCAAAGAGCTATGGGTGTCATCTCTCTGGACTTCTGTAAAGCCTTTGGCACAGTTCCCCACAACATCCTTCTCTCTAAACTGGAGAAAGATTATTTGATGGCTGGACTGTTTGGTGGACGAGGAATTTGGTTGGGTGGTTGCATCCAGAAGGTAGTGGCCAAAAGTTCAATGTCCAGATGGACATCAGTGACAAGTGGTGACCCTCAAGGACCTGTCCTGGGACCAGGACTGTTTCATGTCCTCATCAAGGACACAGTGGATTGAGAGCACCCTCAACAGGTTTGCAGATGACACCAAGCTGAGTCTTTCATTGAAATGCCTGAGGGACACAGGGACAGCCACAGGGACCTGGACAAGCTCCAGCAGTGGCCCGTGGGAATCCCATGAGGTTCAACAAGGCCAAGTACAAAGTGCTTCACCTGGGGCAGGGCAACCCCAGTACAGACCCAGGATGGGGATGAACAGATGGAGAGCAGCCCTGCAGAGGGCTTGGAGGTGCTGGTGGATGAGAGGCTGGATATGAGCTGGCAACATGAGCTCACAGCCCAGAAAGCCAAGTGTGTCCTGGGCTGCCCAAAAAGCAGCATCACCAGCAGGTCAAGGGAGAGGATTCTGCCCCTCTGCTCCACTCTGGTCAGACCCCCCCTGCAGTGCTGCCTGGAGCCCTGGGGTCCCCAGCACAGGAAGGACATGGAGCTGCTGGAGTGAGTCCAGAGGAGGGCCATAAAAATGACCAGAGGGTTGGAACAGTTCTCCTGTCAAGAAAGGCTGAGAGTTGGAATTATCCAGTTTGGAGATGGCTCTGGGGAGACCTTCTTGTGGCCTTTCTATACTTAAAAGGGGGCTTGTAAGTAAGATAGGAACACATATTTTAGTAGATTCTGTTGCAATAGGACAAGGGGTAATAGTTTCAACCTAAAAGAGAGCATATTGAGATGAGCTAATTTTGTTTACAATGTGGGTGGTGAAACACTGGCACAGGTAGGTGCCCTAACCCTGGAAATATTCAAGATCAGATTAGACAGGGCTCTGCAACCTGATCTAATTGAAGATGTCCCTGCTCACTGCAGGGGAGGCTGGCCCAGATGACATTTAAAGGTCCCTTTCAACTCAAACTGTTCTATGATTCTAGTCTTATGAAATCCATTCTAGTCTTACAATGCTAAAAGCTCTATAGCTACACTACTCAGTGAAGGACTACATCAAGGATTCATAAAAAACCCCAAACAAACAAAAAGAAACCCACCAAAAACCCCCAACCAACCAAATGCCTCCCATCCTGCCAAATAAAAAGCCCCAAACAAACCAAATCTCAAAATGAAATGTTGCACCTGCTGGTAACTAACTCTTACCTCTAGATTCTCTATGTTTTCTCAGTTGCCCAAGACATGTCCTGGCCTGAGTTTCTCAGGTCTTCCTGGCTGTTACCTTGTTCTTTACAACTGTACAAAACTAATATTCTTGAAATTGCCTATGAATACCACAGACATCTCACACACACTGAAACTTAACATCAGAAGATTAAAAATCACCAGTCAAGCCTTTGAGGATTATTAAACAAGAGGTATCCAGGCCTGCTAGTTGTAAATTCTTAGACAACATGTCCTGGAAGACTTATGCTTCTCAGTGACACCTGGTGAGAGGGCAGCTCTGCCCCTTTCCACCCAGCTCTCAGGTGTGCACTTGTGCTTTGCTGGCTTACTTGTGCACTTGCTTGTGCTCTCATAAGGTCACTCCATCTCAAACCACTCAGGCAGCACAGCTCTGCACTGCCCTCCTGCTGGGCAGAACCTGATAGACAGAGTGAATTGCAGCCCACCTTATCCCAATGCAGGATGGGGACATAGGGCCAACACTGGGATTTGAGCAATCACCATCACTGCAACTCCTGTGCTCCAGAAGAGACTTTCTTAGGAGCCCTCCCTGAGGAGCTCAGGGAAGGTGGTGCCTCTGCTTTGTGTGAAAGGAGGCATGAGCTCCGTGGCCCAGCCCAGCATGAAGGATATTTCAGTACCTGGAATTTGGTCCAGCAGCTGGGGCTGCAGAACTGGTAGACAACCCGGTCTGTCTTGTTGTAATAGCAGGGTTCAGATAAACTCTTTCTGCAGAAGCTGCAGGGTCTAGGGGGACCTGATGAAAGAGATAGGAGTTGGTGAGGGCAGCAGCACAGGATGTGGGAATGGATTCTGAGGATGGCATGCAAGCTACTCACTCATCCTCAGTCTGACAAGCTATTACCAAAAAGCAAGGGACAAGAACAGAAGGAAACTAAGAGCACCAGATTCTGCTAGGACAGAAATGTTAAACAGATGGAGAGCAGAGTGATTCACAGAAGTGACCCTGGCTCTATAGGAATTTGGACAAAACAGGCTGCAATACTTGTCCCACTCCTGGACACCCCAGTACACCATGTAATGGGAAGGGCAATGCCAGCACAATCCAGCACAACTGCTCCCTGCATTCATTCTCAAGAACAGCAATGTACACTACCCTCAAATAAGATGTCTACATGCTGCAAGGGTTGCTCCCTCTGCACTTCCACTTGTCTCACTGGACTCTTCCCCCAGGCTTTTACCTTCTTTTCAGTCCCATCCACAAGCAATAAACAATACCAAGGAAGGAATTAAGTGGAGAGGTGATGATTTCCTTTACACAGGTGCTCTTACCAACTAAGCCTGACTGCTTCACTTTGTGGGAGGTAGTGCAGCAGATGGAGCAGAACAGGCCCATCTTGCCACTGCGATCCACGTTGGGCAGCATGTCAAAGTTCTTGCACAGTGTCTTGCACCACATGCAGGGGTAGACCCGAGTGTTCTTCTGCAAACACAGAGCAGAACAGAGCTTCCAGGAGACCATCACAGCTGGCAAGGTCCAGCTACCACATCCCACCCCACTGCTGTACTCATTACAGGACTGCTCTCCTACAGTGACCACCTGGTGCCAGGGACAGGCTCACAGTGTGATTCAGATGGTGGTAGCAAAAAAGCTGCCTTTGGCACTTCAACTCCTCATTTCAAGGGTGGCCTGGCAGGAATACAGTGTTTGGCAACCCCTTCCAATACAGTTAAGTGAAGACTGCTCAGGTGACAGAGGAACATACCCAGCCCAGCTTTAGAGAGACATCCAGAAGCCAGTCCATGCTAACTGCATATACCACTGTCACTCTACCACTAGTTCATGGACTTTCTGACCCACGCTTGGGTCCATGGTAGACCCCATGCAGATAAAATCAATTCTGTTTGCCTGCTTCAGAGTTTCCCCACAGCAATCTTGTAACTGCTTTGTCAGCAATCAAAGACCAAGTCACCCACTCTTTAATAAAATGCCCTGTGCCACACCAAGCAAAGTTGCTGTGTGCCCACAGAGAACCCCCCACCCAGGCAGCTGCCCCCACTCACCTTCTTGTAACTGTTGAGACACGCAGAGTTGCAAAAGCGTTTTTGCTGGCCTTCATGGAAGAGGTACTCCAGGGGCAAGCCCTTGTTGTAGATATAAAGTCCACAGTTGTCACAGCAGTTCGTTTTCAGCCCCTTGGTGGCCCGGAACTTGGTGAAGCAGGCGTCACTGCAGATGCGGTGAACCACGTTCCCATTGCTGACCTCGTGCTGGATCTGCAGAGACATCACTGCTGTCACTCCCCAAACCACCACGGGCCTCCTTCCAATGCAGCTGTACCAATGCAAGCACAGCCCTTGGGATAACAAGCACTAAAACTCTGGGAAGTGCCATACTGGAAGCTGGTGTGGACTCATGGTGGACTCCCTTGCCAAAAGTCAAAGGAGCAACTGGGAGAGCAGAGTGGCAGGAAGCAGTGAGCCTCAGGGCAAGGAAAAGCTTGAGAGTGAGCCTAAGCCAGCTCAGGGGCTGAGGCCTCACACCACAGGAAAACCTGGCAAATGCCCTGGTCTTGGCCAAGACTAAGTGCTGCAAATCCTAAGCACTTCCTCCAGGATATGGGAAGGACAAGGGATTTGTTTACCTCGCCAGGTTTGTGGCAAACACTGCAGCGGCTGGTGTCCGAGGCATCTGCAGACTGAGGTGCTGGTCTGTGCTGCTGGGCCTCGTAGAGGGAAAGGCAGACAGAGGTGCAGAACTCATGGAAAGAGCCACCTGAACCAATCTGGGCAACCACAGAGTCCTTGGTGTTCCAGATCTCCCTGGGGATCAGGAGGGGATGGGTTAGTGCAGGGACATGTGTGTCCTGCCACAAAAGGATAGGACGGCTCACTGCAATGCACAGGACTTTCTGGTGTCCCAAAAAGTTGGCAAGAACTGTCTCACAGCAGCTTCTCTCCTGGCCCAGGGGAGATATGTCTGAAGACAGAGCATGCAGGAGGTTGTTTTGAGGGGAAGCTGGAATATGGGGCACTAAGTCTGGGGACAGGGAGGGAAAGCAAGAGTGTGAAGGGAGTGTAAGGAGCATGGGATAGGGAGTGTGTGAAAGAAGACATGGGGCAGCAGCTGGCAGTGGGCAGGAGTGATGTGGCTGAACGAGGGCCATAGGAAGGGGACTGGCAGGAGAGCTGTGGAGCAGGTGAGTGGGGTTCACAAGCACGGGAGCGCTGAGCAAAGGGGAATGAACACACACTTTTTGCAGAAGGTGCATATCTTCTTGCCAGGCGGTTTTTTTGAGAAGGTGGTGAGACAGGAGCTGGAGCAGAAGAGCTGAGGAAGCCCTTTTCGCTGGTAGGCAGTCTGGCCCTTCTGCAGGGGGGTCCTGCAGTTGGCACACGTCATCTTGGTGAAGGTGGAGCGGGCGGCTCGCTGCGCCATCTGAGCGCGCAGCGACATCCGAGTGGAGCGCCGCGTACGGAAAGGGACAAAATCCTCGTCGTTGGGATCATCCACCATCGCATCAGAGTCTTCATCAGAGACTGGAACTGCAGAGCAGCAGAGCAAGATCAGAAACCCCTCATTAGGAAGTGAGAAATTCTGCCGCGAGACACATGCTGGGATTTTCTGAGTCACCTTTCTAGAGTTTCTCTACATACTTTGTTCCTGTCTGGTTGGAATGATAAAGGGATCCTTAAAAGAAATTCTGTTGTAACTGGAGATGAATCAAGAGGTGTTTAAACAAACCAGGCTTAAATACAATTCCTGTCTAGGAAGTCATGATATGCCAAGGTTGAGCAGAAGCCCAAAGAGTGAACATCTACCCTGTAAGAACTGTTAAGACTGGAAAGGGAATATGCTGATCACCAGATTCTAGCACAGGCAGGCAATAAAGGAGCAACACTCAAATACTAGGGAATGGCAGGGTGACATTAAATATCTCAAAGAACAGACACTTCACATACTTCTCCAGGAAAATCTCCAAAATGCCACCTGCATTCAGACAGCCTGCTCTCATAGAGAGAAAGGAAGAAAGTTCCTGTGTGAGGAGATGGAAGATGGATTTCCTGGGAACAACCCCCAATCTCATCCTGTTACTTAGTGCTTGGTGCCCACACACCACTGTAAAAATACTACAACGCTCCCTGTTTTGACCTAAGTGCCCTGAGAAAGCAAGACAAATATCCCAGGATGAAGAGTTGTGGACCTGTCCTATGTAGAAGGGAAGTCTGCACGGAAGTTCCAGAGTTCCCACTGTACTCACACCATGAACTACCTGCCCAGAATGGATCTGGGCCATTCTCTCTGGCTGAAAACAGGGACTGGCCAGCCCCAGTTACTTACTGCTCTCTGAGGAGTTCACAGTCTCAGGCCTGACAGTTTCTGATCTTCTGGGTCGTTCGCTTCTTTTCTGCTCCTAGAAGACATTCAGAAAATAGTTAGGCTAACTAGCAGCTAGGACAACCATGGACCCAGATTATGGTGAAGTTCCAGCTTCTGGGATTTGGTTTCCCAGTACCTAGACTGAAAATGGATAAAACTCCACGGACACCTGATTAGAGCTGGCAAGACAGAGAGAGGGGAGTAGGCTTATAAGAATGACATTTCAGCTGAGGGTAGCAGGGACACACTGAAGCCACATTACAGCATAGTGGCATTGCACAGGGATCATTCTGTCACAGGAGTCATGCAAACTCCTTTCCAGATGGCTGACAAGACAGCCAGTGTCCCTCACAGAGTCTGACAAGAGCCAGCCATGCTCTATGCTCCTGTACCATACATACTTGACTGCATTTTCCTCACCTTCTCAGCCGGCGGCTCGCTTCCCTTCCCAGACAGGCTTTCTCCTGGAACAGAAGCACAGAAGAAGCTTGCATCTAGCATCTTGCTTTTCCCCAACAGAAGAGCACAGGTGTTCTCCAAATGCAGCCACCCTTTGGGTCAGTCAGCACATGAAGCCTCAGCCTGTCCTGGCTACCAAGTACAGTTCTGGTGGTGGAAGGTTCCTAAGCTGCAGACCAAACACACAGACTGGGAGGAGCCCTGTAAGGGGGAAACCTCCCTGCATGGGGGAGCAGGCTGGGTGGGCAGTTACCTCCAACTGCTTCTGACCAAGACCGAGCATCTCCTGGGGATGGCCAGCCTGGGCAGAGGAACTTTGCCTATTGGAAACACCTGCTGGTGACCCTCAGTTCCAGCAAAGACTCCAGCCATGAAGAGAGTGCGCTAAGCTGATGTGCAGCCACAGCTTTACGGGGGAAGCTCCTTGCTTCCAAAAGCACCAAAAATCAGTTAAAGCCACAAAAGCCAGAGCAAGAGCTTGTGCACACCAGAACATTATTCCCTTTACACAAGAGGCTTTGACCAAATCTAGACCACCAGAAGGTTGGCTATTTCCATAGCAGGGGACGAGCTGCAATGCAGAGCAGACTCCAGCTTCAGCAGTGTGTAGCTGGATGACCTCCTGAGCAAAAGGAAGCCAGGTTCTGCTGAGCCAACAACTTACCTGCTGGTGGTAAGGCTTCCTGTGCTTTGAGTACACTGTTTTCTTTAAGTGAGTTCTTCCCATTATCATCCCCTTCCTCTGCCCGGTTTTTCTCCACAGGCTCAGGGGGCAAAGCTGCAGTTCTGTTGTCTGGGCTCAGTTGTACCTCTGCCTCCCCTGCCAGCCCTTCCCTCTGCACAGGTGAGCTTTTCCTTGGTGCCTTCAACTTCATCTTCTTTGTTTGTTTAAGACTGATTTGGGGTGGGGGCACTGTGGGATTTGAGGACTGTGCTGTGGTTTCTTCCATGGCTGGGGCACTGCTGAGGTCCCTGGAGTCAGGGACAGGTTGTTGGGGTGATCCAGGGGCATTGTCACCAGACAGTGCAGGAATAGCAGCAGCACCATCTTCCTTTACATTCCCAGAACAATTTTTTGGTGCATCCTCCCCTTCTTTCCCTGCTTCTGGACCAATGGCTTCCCTAGACAGGGCAGAGGAGTCTGCTGGTCCACCCTCCACGTCCTGGGAAGGTTGTGCCTTACGCAGCCCATCCAGACCCTCTGGTTTATCCACCAAGTCAGAGGTTTTACCCAAATCATCTAAGACACCAGGTTTCTCCAGCATCTCCAAGACATCAGGTTTATCTAGAGCACAGTCATTTGATTTATTTAGTTCAGACACACTGTCTGCTTTCACTACAAGGTCCAAGTCCTCATCTGCAGTCATCTGCTTGGATTGGTCCCAGCCAGGGGGCTGAACAACTGAAACTTCCTGGGTAGAAGCTGTTTGGGAGCCCGGGAGATCTTCACCAAACTCCATGTCAGCAGGGAGATCACCAATGAGCGGTTTGTCAGGCAAGGACAGGGGGTCCAAAGATCCTGAAAATTCACTGGAATCCATTTAGAAGATGGCAACTGGAAATGAGAGAGAGACTTGCAAGTTAATGAAAAGCAGTCTAACACAGAACATGAACTGTCCACTCTTCTGAACACTGCTGCAGTAAAACAAGGCCCAGGAATGCTGCCAGACCATAACGAGGACACCAGACACCAGCAGGTGAATCACCTCTACTTGTGAGGGTACAAGAGTCAGCAGCAGGATGCAGTAGTTTGGTATTACAGACCTTTGTGAACTCTACAGCCCTCACACACCTCACCATAGCACAGCAAAGAAACTTGCTTATGCTAAATGACACACTGGGGCATCAGAAATAGCTCGAGCACCAATTCAGGAGGCTCCACACCAATGTTCTGTGGTAATATCACCAGCCCTGTCTTCTTCTCTATCCAAACAATCTGGTCTGTCCCTTCTCCTGATCTGTTCTTATGGAGCTAGCACATTTTTAATTTTTTAAAATATCTTTTTTCTCTTAAACATAGAGGTAGAAATAACTCCCTTCAAGCCCTGAATTGTGAGTCTTAACAAGATACAGGATGACAACATGCATTAATCTTGTCAGAGGACAGATGTAAACAATGTTACAGTATAACTACAGCTACTGCATAACCCCAAAAATACCTTGGCTAGTATTCAGACATGGAACAATTGGAAAAGCTTAAGTTAGAACTAGGAGGAGTTCTGGAGAGTGGCAAGAAGAAAGGTGGTAAAGCTCTGATGTTAAAAGCAGTCATAAGAAGAACAAGTAGCAAGATAGACAGAAGCAAGCAATGCAGAGTCAGGAAAAAAGACCAGTGTGACTTTGCAGGGCACAAACAGTGACTTGAACAGGAAGGTGTGATGCAGACTGACAACCTCAGGGGGAAAGTTACAGCCCAGCTCCTCATGGTTGACATCATCATAAGACAGAAAGCTCAAGACTTCGAGATGAGGCAAGTAATATGGCCTAAAACTGAATTATACCCCCACAAGGAGATAATGGTTGACAAACCCCAAGAGGGAAAGGGAGAAGGAGCTGGAGTCTGCAAGTGGGAAGGCAGTGTAAGACTTGAAGTAACATTGTGTCCCTGAACAGGCTCTAAGGAGACAGTACAAAAAAGGCACTACAATCAAATTATATGGCAACAACCTAGCCCTTCCAATCAGAGTAATTCCAATTCTAAATTTAGCACTGTTTTAAGCCCTGAATGAGAAGACACGGTACTTTTGTTTATTTGGGCTTACAGTGGGCATAACTCATCTATATCAATGGAGGAGGAAGCTTGATACAATTTCACTGATGATGATTCACTTATTCACTTAACTCTTTTTTCATACCCTTCCCTCTGAAAGGACAAGCAAATTTTCACTCACAAATTATTTGCTCAGAACTAAACAGAACATACTTGGACAGAGAAGGTAGCCAGCTTCTGAAACTTAAGACAAGCAGGAATTTAATTAAATCATATCCAACAACTGGATTTCAAAGCCACCACCTCCTTATTTTATCTAAATACACAATAATGTTTTCTGTTTCCTGGTGGCAGATAAAGCACTGTTCCCACAAACCCAATCAGAAACTAAAGCAAATGTAATCTTTAGAAATGCTCAGCAAGATTCATCCCCAAAGACTTTGGTGTTTCTGTTCACTTTTAGTTAGAAGATAAGACAAAACTTTTAGAATAAGCCAATTCCAGAGCAATGCAGGATCTAATACATGTTTTAGGTTAGATGACAGAAATAAGAACAAAGTGCAATAGAAACAGACATCTGAAAGAAAGGTCCTAAGGATCTGAAGCAGATGAGAACCCTTCCAAGATGATAAACAAGGGTTTTTTTCCTGCTTTTCAGAATATGAGCAATGTCTCCTGCTCAAAGATATCCCCCACCCAGTTTCACAGACAGCAGACCCTACAATAATAAGCCAAAAACCCTCAAGGCATCCAGATGAGGAAGGAAAATTTATTTATAGGTATACTTAACAGAGCTAACATACCCCTCAAAATGACCTCAGACACTTTGCACAAGTTTGCCATGAACCACTAAGGTCACTCCTAAAGTAATTCCCACTTTCAGCTGGCCTAGTCTTTGCTCGATAGAAATAGACCCTGCAAACATCTGGAGCATAAGAAATCCATTTGGGCATTCCCTCCCAGAGCATAATGCAAGCCACAGTCTACAAACTTGTCCTGTAACTTATGGACCAAAGGCACCTGGTGTAACAGTGCTTTAACAGTGCCTTAACACTGCTTTCAAACTTTGGGTGATAGAATGCAAGACAAAACTCTGACTTAATGGCAATGTCCTTGACCAACAGGAAAGTCTGAAAGAGAAGAAGTATTCTGCAGACTAAGGCAACTCCAAACTACCAGGATGTGGCTGGAACAGACCCCTCTGCAGAGGCAAGGCTGTAGTAAGAGCACTCACTCACACGCTCTGTTTGGAAGCACAGCCCCTGTGCTCGAGGCCCTGTCCCCTCTCATCTGCTCTGTCTGAATCCTCCCAGCAGAACAGCTCACACTTCTGGAGAAGGAACCAAAGCTTCTTCTTAGGCTGTGCAAAGCTAAGGACTGCTGCAGTCAGTCCAGTGAAAGGAGCACGTACTCAAATATCCTGTTCCTATTCACACCAAGAACGGATACCTGGGGAGAGAGTATAAGAAACACAACCAACAGGATGTTCCTCTTCAGCACATCCCCCAGTCAAGGAATCAGCTGTGAAAGAACAACTTGGCTTGAGCTGCACTGACAATGTCCCTGTTAAGAGTCTGTACTGGGCAAATCCTCTGCCTAATCCCACTTTGAACCAATTTATACTTTGGACCTCCTAAAATTCCAGTGGTTTTAAGTCCTGCAGTTTAACATTCAATTTTTAGAAGTATTTTCCTTTTGTTTATTTTCAACCTGCTGCAGCAGAGCTCCAAGGTGATACAGGGCAGGTGAATGCCAACTCTTGATATATTTAAAAGAATTTGGAAAAGCTGTGGAGTTAAGAGATGAGGCTGGGCCCAAGGTGATGCTGACAAACAGTGTGAGTGGGAAAGCACAGACTGTCCCTGACAATGAATTCTTTATAGTGACTTTCAACTACCAGCTGATAAGAATGAGGAAGGAGGCTCTCAAAATAGGAAAGAACGGTATTTTCCAGTTCTGTGGGTTGCTCTGAAATCAAACTCAACCTGAAGAAATTAGAGCTGCTCTGCTGCAGCAAGGTAAGAAGCTCTACTTCTCTCTGCCCCAGGCAGTCAGATTTGTCTGGGCCTTCTGTTGAGCTTCACAGTGAGTTAAGCTGCAAACAGAGCATGCACTTTATCTCTGGTAAAGTCTTTTCTCACCTTCCACAACAGAAACAGAATAGCTTATTGTTTCTGGCAGGTGCTGAAATGATCCACCACAAGTCATCACCTCTCTTATTCCAGGACCAGCTGATGCACAGCTCAGTCACTGGGGTTTGGTCACTGGTCTGCTCAAAATCTTCCTCTTTTCCAGCCATGTAACTGGCAGCAAGGAGAGTACAGTGCAACGTGGCTTGGCCAAACCAAGAGGAGGCAGTGTGCTGAAATCCTGCACTTAGCAGCATATATAACTGCTCCATTTGGGAACTCCTCACTGAGGAGTAAGTACTCCCTGGAGTATTCTGTAAGAGATATATTCTTGGGAAGAACAAGCTGAAGGAGCAAAGTCTCTTGCACAACAGCCTGCAGCAGAACACTTCTCAGATAGCAAGTAAGCATTCCCAAAGAAGTGATGGGACAGCTGGGGGTCCTCCCCAAGTGTGCAGGAGTGGCACAGAACATGACACTGATGGCCAAACCCAGTACCTGTGACTGCCAGACCTGCCCAGCTCTTTCTGCCAAAGAGGGACATATGGGATCTTCTCTCAGATCTGGAAGCTCGAAGTGCAACATCTCTGCTAGGACACTTAAGCACATCCAAGTGCTTAAGTGTCCCAGCCTACCTGGGACTTTATCCAGCTTATTAAAGACATCAGTGGTGCTGTAACTCAGGTAACCATTAGCAGGGGAATATGTGGCCTACCTACAGAAATGAGGCTCTACCATCAAACATTTAATTAAAAACAGAGAGGAAAAAAAAAAAAATCTGTTGTTACTCCCTCCTGATGAAGAGAACATCTCAGAAGTCTTTACAGCCCACAGGAAAAAAAAAAATCCCACATGCAGTTACTGCTCTCCTCTAGCAAAGGAACAGGAACTGCTTGGGTATCTGTCCTGGACTTCTGTTCATGGACATGTATTCACATTTTCAATACTTTTGAAGGCTGAAGGAATCTTTTTCACTATCAGAGATAATTTGAAATATGAAAATAATTAACTAGTAACTATAAAAGACACTTAAATCAACACTTCAGCCACCTCCCATCTACAAGGTCTGTAAGACTTAAGCAGAGCTCTGCAAGAAGTTTCTATTTTTTGTGCCAAATTTTTGAACAAACAGCAACACTAGTATTTCTCAACAAAAATACTGTCAATACACAGTTCAATCAATAAAACATTAAGAAAGTAATATCATGTCCTACCAGCATGGTTTCAGTAAACATATCTTCATCAACAATATTATACTTTGAGTGGTGAGCACAGCAGAAGCCAACTTCTCTGCTGTGACTTATCTGAGTTTATCTGGACAGCTGATAGCATTCTAAATTCAAGCACTGCAAACCTTTACTACATACTGGCTAACTCCCTTCAACACAAATGAATTTACAAAGAATCACCAGTAAACTAAGCACACTACTGTGGACCATGTTTCAGTCCAGTCAAAATTCTCCAGAAAGAGCAGAATGGATTTTGTTATTTACTAGTGTTTTTGGAGAGGCAGCTCTCTGAGCTGCAAAGTCAAAGAGCACAAAGCCCACTTGGTGACATTCAGTACAGTGCTACTTGCACACAGTGCCATGTTAGACCATCACTGTCTCATTCTTGGCTACTGTCTACAATTGATAACAGTTATCGGAAGAATTGAGATGTTTCAAATAAAAAAAAAAATCTGACACAGTAACACAAGAATCCCAGTGCTTTATGAATCAGCCATGGTTTAGAAAACACCCTCCAGTGCTAAACCTATTTTGTTCCCTGAAAAAGAAACAGAGACAGGACCCATCTCAAAAAATCACAAAATAAGATCTACAGCAGACAACTCCTTAGAGATACAGACAGGTACACACAAGGACACAAAAAGCTGGAAATCAAAGCTGGACAAGCTCATAAACACATGATTAAACAACTGACCATGAGATCTGTAAACCCTCTGTGACTTGGAGGTTTTACATGCAGTGACTCACTCCAAGTCAGCCACAGCTCCTGCAGATGCCACTGGTCAAGCCCCCGTGCTTTGCAGGCAGGGTTTGGTGAACACTGTCCCACCTCCAATGCATGATTGGTTCTCAATCAGTGCAAACTGCAGAGGCTTTCACCACATCCCCTTCAGGCCAGTCTTCACGTGTCACTGGGACTGTCTGCACAACTGTAACTGGTACGCAGGGGAAAAAAGGGAATTTCCAGAATTTCACCAGCAGCATCGAGACTCCAGCAATTGTTTTTTGATAGTCCCAAAGCCAGGAAAGGAGATCATCACTAGATTTTCCTACAGCAGGAGCCCCAGCTCAGGGCTGCAGGCTTCAAATGTAGTATGACAGCCACCCTGAACCCAGAAAGCCTAAATCCTCCAGCACTGAGCAGCTGGTGCTGCAACACACAGCCATGAGTCTCCTGTAAATTCCTCAAAGGCAGGAACGACCAAACTGGATTTTGAGCTCGCATTCCAGAAACTTCACCTCAGTTTCAAGAAAGTACAAGAAGGACAAATTTCAGAAATCTCACAGAATTGCCTGGAATTAGGTTTACCAGGAGAATCCCTGCAACACTTCAAATAAAACTGACAATATTCCTCAATCTCAGCATTATCTGCTGCTAACCATAGCAGTAAATGCTAAGACAGGCAACAGGAGCATCCTCATCAATCCAGAATGCCATCCTGGAAGCAGCTTGATATGGCTTGGATCCCCTCACATCCTGTAAGACCAGGATCTACCAAAGCACTAAGTGTCAAGGCTTTGCAACAGAGAAAAGAGTAACAAGTCTAAGTACATCCTTAGAGCAATGCTGTCTGGAGAGCAATTCAGCTTCAAGAACCAACTCCACTCAGCCATCCAGCCCAAGAGAAAATTCTCCTGGTGTTTGTACAGCCAAAATAGTGTTAAATGCTGGGGAAATGGGTGAGTGGGTAAAAATGCTTTGGAAGTACTATCAGAAGCACAACAAAAAAGGCTTGGAGGTACAGCATGCTTGAGCAGTGTGTGTCCAAACTGCCTTAATGATATCAAGGCAATGATTAAAAAATATAGAAGACCTGGAAGTGGTAAAAAACAGATGGTCATCAGGTCTGTCTACCTGTTGCCCAAATGCTGCAGGAAGGCATCAGAATACCTGACAAAGTGTTCTGGCACATCCCACAAGCAGCTGGAGAGGACAGCTGCATGGACAGCAGGTTACTCTCCAGAGGAGTGCTGCAGCCTGGGAACAGGCCACAGACTGCCTGGAGGTCCTCAAAACCCAACTGGACAAAGCCCTGAACAACCAGGACTCGAGTCAGCTTTGCTGTGAGCAGATCAGTTGGACCAGACACTTCTAGAGGTCCCTTACAATCCAAATCCATCAGTGGTTTTGTGAATAAACCTTACTGCACAGGGAAGACAGAGAAAACAAAAGGGCAGAGTCTCTTAAGAGGATCTATCTTTGAAGGCAAAACATGCAATTTTCCTAAAGAGGCCCTGCAGAGCCAAAATACTGGAAAAACAGTGTGAGCTGTCTCCTCTGCCTCCCTGACATTCCCAGACCTCTCACCTCACATGCAGCTCTTCAGACTGGCCCTGGGTAAGGCTGCGTTGAGCAGAGCAATGTCTCACCTCACCTAGAGACCAACTCCTCGCCCCTTGGGCTGGGCCAGCAGAGCAGGCTCACAGCAAGTGGAGACAAGGAGACAGCAGAGCCCATGGCCAGCAGGACTGGTGAGGATGGTCCCAAATGCTGCCATTTCCTGACGTGTACCATCAGCAGAGGAGGAAGTTAATAAAACACTACTGAGACTAAAACACAAATCCAGTCAAATCCTTAGCACTGCCTTTGCTAAACTAATGAATGCACTGTCACATCTGTAACCTATTCCATACTTCCACTGGATGGCTTTGACCACAACCCTTCTGCAGCAAGGCTTCTGCCAGCACGTCTGTGTCCATCAGAGTTGTGCATCCCAGCATCACTGACCACAAGACATCCACAAAGTTATCATACAAGAGGCTTTGCCCCCAAAGTGAGGCCATAGGCTCAGCCTGGGCCCTTGCTCCGGCTGCCAGAGATGTGGAAGAATCTGTTGTCACTCACTGTCATCCTCCAAAGCAAGGGCACTCACAGGGAGAGGGATGTGAGCAGGTGCAGAGAGAAAAAGAGGTTGTGCAAATATGCACTATGGAGCTGTGAGGCTCAGGTTAGTCATTACAGCTCTGTAGGCTGTGGATATTCCTTTCATAAGGTTGAGCTCACAATAACAACAGGGCTACGCTCTTATCACCAGCTTTGATCCCAGGCTAGGCAGGGTTAGGTGAGAAAATGCAGATTAAAAGTTTTCTTGGGGATTGCAGCTGCAATGAAAAGGAAAGAAGTTACAGCCTAGAACAAAAGCCATACCTGGAAGCACAGCAGGAGCAGAGGAGAGCACAAATGAAGCAGCTCTCATCCTCATCAAAAGAGGCTCCAGGAACTATCCCTCAGCACTCAGTTGAAAATCCTACCCCCCACCATCACCAGACACGTCCAGCGCTGTCTCTGCCCACACAAGCATATCTGATGCCAGGGCCTTTTCCCATGCTGGGCACACAGCACAGCCAGCTCCCTGCCTCGCCAGGCCTGCCTCCACCTCTAGGAACCACTCAGGAGCTACTTGATGCTCCCCAGGGCACCTTGTTGGCCACAGCTGCACTGCCCACACGGGGAGGCTTCAGCACACTGGAGCTTCCCACAGCAGCCCAAGGCAGCTCCAGCCCCGCGGGGCTGCACCTTCCCCTCACGGGGCCAGATCCTCGAGAGCAGCACATGCTGCCCAGGGACACACACCCCTACCAGGCCTTGAGGAGGCTCCAGACTCCGCCACACAGGGGAAGGCTGTCAGAAAGGTTATCCAGTTCACAGAGCAGCAGCTGCTGAGCCCCACAGACTTTGCTCCTGCGTGTGGTGACAACACCATAAAGGCTGAGCCCCTGGGGACACCGGGAGAGCCGAGCCCGGGCGGGTGCCAGGGCCCAGCTTGGGGCAGAGGCTGCCAGGGCTGTTTGCTGTCACTGCCCAGCACAGCCCCTCAGCAAGGACAGGCCCCGCTGGGCTGAGCGCTTCAGGGCCTCCCAGGAGCCATGGACCCCGGGCCCAGCCTGTGCGCGGGCACTGACGTGGCTGGGGGGCACAGCCAGCCCCAGCCCCCCACCAGAGCTGCCCCCCGCGCCCCCCTGTGCCAGCCCACACCAGGGACGGGCGCCAGGCTGGGGCTCCCCATCCATCGCAGGGGAGCCAGAGACCACCTCCCACAACAGGGCAAGGATCTCACTGGGGTCTCCATGGAAGCAGGGTGGGAATGAGGGTCAGGCTGGTGGGTTCCCCAGCCACAGTGGGGGGACCCACAGCCCAGACCCCTCCCCAAAAGGATTAAGGGTCGCAGGATCCCCCCCCACTGCAGGGGGCAAGCTCTGCACCAAGTCGGGGATGGGGGTCACATGGGCGCTCCCCGTCCATTCCGGGTGACTCCAGAGACCACCCCCATCCAGACCGAGGGCCCACGGGGGTCTCCATGGAACCGAGGCGGGGATGGGGGCTAGGCAAGTTCGTTCCCCAGCCACCCCGGGAGGGGTGCAGAGACCACCGCCTCCCCCGCACTGCAGAGCAAGTCGCATTGGAATCTCCATTGGACTGGAGCTGCAAGGGGTGGGGGTCAAGCTGGAGCTCCCCATCCATCCCGAGGGAGCCCACAGCCCAGATCCCCCATAAGGGGCGAGGGTCGCACA